TCCGTACGGCCGTATGTACGATTTGGAGTCAAAAAAGTCATGTTCACAAGTGAAGAGTCATGACTCAAAGGCCAAAGCAGCAACAACCCAATGGAAATTCGGGAGGGTTTCAGGCCTTGATATTCAGAAGTAGTCAGACCGATGGACATGCAACTGCGGTGGAGGGGACAGAGGAGGCATTGGGGACCGGCAAAGGCGTCCCCCCTAGTGGACATCATGGGCCTCACGATGAAGTGACGACAACGGAAGGCGGTGGTGGGGTGGGGAGGGCTCCCTCGATCGACATGCTACTGCGGGCTCCGGTCCAGAACATACGGTGAAGTCCGCCGACATCCCGACTTTGTCGTGACAGGCATCGGCCCCCTGCTCAGTGACAGAGAGGCTGGCCGCCTTAATTGGTGTTGGCAGCGGCTCATAGGTAGGGACTCTAATCACCAACGAAAAGTCCAAGTTCGCTGAGATCCGAACTACACCGGTTGAGGTGCTAGGGCGGGAGTCTGCCGTGCAGAGCGAGGCGAGGAAGGGAGTGCCCAACCAGGATCTCGCGTTGAATTGTGCCGAAATCCGCACTTCGCTTAGGGACGGTCTTCCATTTAGCGGTGGTGATGTGCGAGACCGAACTGCGTCGACTGAGGGGGAGGGGAGGCCTACAGCGTAAACGGAAGAGTGTGCAAGTGGATTGCGCACTGGCCTGAGAACGTCGAAGTCAGCCGGGATCCGAACTTCATCAAAAGGTGGTCCTCGGGCTGGAATTATGATGGCTACAGAAGGGTCTACGCGCGTCAAATCAGAAGAGTGGTTGGCAGAATTAGACACGGGTTCGGGGGGAATGGATGAATTGTAGCGAAGGACGAAGGGGAGGAAGGGGAAGAAGGGGAGGAAGGGGAAGAAAAAGGGTTGACTGGTTTGCTTGAAGGGAAAGAAGATGACAAAGGGAACATGGATAATGAAAAGTAGGAAAGGAAGGAAAGAATGGAGGGTTCTGATGTGGAGGAGAGTGACGAGGATGTTGGCTCTGACGATTCGTACGACGAGTTCAGGCGACTGTACGGACAACATCATGGTCATAATGTCGATGCCGATGCAACGGGGATGGAGATGGACACGCAGTTGGTTCATAACCTTTCCACAGAGCGTGAAGACTATGAAGTTCAACAACTTCCATCTGCAATCGAAAACCAAGACGGGTGCCATGAGGTTTCCGTTGCTATAAGCCCGCCTAAACCAAGTCGTCGTATAAGCATCGAGGAATTTATCGATAGCATCCTCTGCGGCTAGCAGGCATCCATTCATCCGTTTGCCACATCAAACGTTGAGGGTCTTGGCAACGTCACACCTTCGGTGCCTGCTGCTCTCACTTTCTCACCACCGAGCTCTCCTGTAGTGGCAGACACCTTTGCCAACGGAGGAGAGGGCAAAGTCGAGGGCCGACAACATGTCACGTCCCCAAAAAAGTCTAGCAACAGGCTAACAGCGCTCCAGATGTCGAGGTGGTGGGATTAGCCACACCGACTTCACCAACAAAGGAGCGGAGGGATAAACCGGCTGGTAAGCGGTGAACAACGACACTAAGCTCTGCACACCCACAAAGACGAAATGCGAGAGCACGACTTTCGTCGTAGTCCGGATTTCGGCAGACTTCAATCCACACCATGCACACAAGGAGTGACCGCAGTGCCTGTCAATAGGAGGAAGTGCGGATGCCGACAGACTTGAACCGCCACTCCTTCCTGCTACATGAGATCGGTCCTCCAGTGAATCGGTCAGGTTGCCAGTCGGGGCCAGTCTCGAAGGAGGGGTGATTTTCTCTTGTCAGAAGGACTAGTGGTTTTAGTCCGCCCGTATCCGCACTTCCTGTTTTGATGCATACAGCGGGCAGTCTTTGTGTGCATGTTGTGGATAAAAATCCGTCAAAATCCCGACTTCGGTGAACGTCGCCCTTTCATTTCTGTAGCTTGTTGTAGTTTTCCTTTGTCCAGGGCGGAGGTGTCTAGCTCGAATGCGCTCTTCGCTATGTTGTCCAACCGCAAACACGCTCCTCTGTGCTCAACGCCATGTGAAATCGGTGCTATTGGAGAGGTTCTGCGTCTTATAGGTTGTTCAATTATTTTAGATTATCCTTCCGTCGGACTCGTGTTGGGATACGTGTATTCATTTATCGTTTTCTCTTTCTTCTATTTTACAGGGGTAGGGTCATCTCGCAAATGGAGGTTCTCGAGATATCCCCACATATATTGCAGAAAGTTCCCGGGTTGACGACAAAAAACAAGGATATGTTAAAGGCATCAGGGGTTGATGTCTAGGTCGGAAAGAAAGAGCATGCCATAGCCATTGAGTAGTGTCTTTCCCTCCTGCCCCCGAAGAAGGGGACGTATCCACTATTTGTGACTAGAGGTCACACCATGTATGAGAAATACTTAGCAATCCGTCGTGCTATGAACGACAATCCTTAGAGCCCCGTTTCTCACTGCCCCGCCTATGCGTTGCCCGATGTTGTGCAGTGTGCATCACAACACGTGGATCACGTGGGGGAAACTTTGCTCTAGCACCTGCGCCTCAACGTTTACGGGTTTTGGATGACATTATGCGAGGCCCGATGCCGCCTCTCACAGTTCTCTTTACCCTCGCCAATAATCACTTACGCATTGCAGCGAAAAATCTCCTCACTCTTTTGCATATCGAGGGCGAGGTGAATGATGAAGTGGTTAATTTCTACATGGCGCTTTTGGGGTCGACCACATGTGCGACACGTGATATGTCGTCAAACCTTTGTGTCTTCAACTTTGATTTGTTCTTCTTCCGTAAGCTGCAACTTGAAGGACATAATTGGGTGAAAAGGTGGGGAAAAAACGTAGATCTACTTAAGTGCAATATTATCTTTGTGCCTGTCCATAAAGATAATGATCATTGAATCCTTCTATCCATCAACTTAAGAGACAATGTCTTGGAAGTTTTCAATTTTTTTCATCGCGTTATAGCTGATAGGGATTTTTACCTTAGCCTTTTCGATTTGATTGTATAATATTTAGAAAAAGAAACATTACATAGCCGGTTAGATAGGAGTTGAAAGTCGATGGCGACGAATGTTGTGGTGAAAGGAGTTCCCAGACAAGTGGATGGAGCAAGTTGCGGGGTGTTCATGTTGATGTTCGCGATGCTGTCGCAACGTGGTGATCGATCACCTTTCACGTTCTCTCATACAAATATCCCGCTTATTCGACGACAATTGGCAACCTGTATACTAGAAGGTCGTTGTCTTTGATGGTGATATAGTGCTCCCAAAATTTATTTTGACAGTGTTCTGTGCATTAATGATTTGTGATACATGACATTATTCAACTGTTATTTTGACAACAATCTTGGTTTCTTTAATTGTTACGAGTTTAAGTTATCTTTGGCATGCTCACTACCTCTTTTACGTCATGTGCAGACTTCGTGATCTTTGTCGTAATTCTGTCGTTTTTCATGCACCAAAACTTGTTTGCATTGAATTTTATATTTGAAATATTTATGCAGGACAACCTAAAGTGCACATATGATTGACATCAGATAATATCCGAACTTGTTGTGTTATACGACAAATTATAAATTTGCGGTTCTTTATGCAAAGACCACTAACTTAACGACTCTTCCGTGTACATCTATTCAAATGCCTTATGACTGCCTACATTATATGTAACCAACAACTTTGCGTGCATAACCTTAAATTTTGGGGGTCGCAAGTTGAAGTGGGGGTTCATCGAAAATATGCAACATTCGAAGTTCTTGTGTAATATGATAGGTATTGTTGCAGAAAAGGATGTATGTCAAAATTAAGTGGTTGTTAAAAAATGAAAACGTTTCTTGTCTAAATAACATGTGTGTCTTTTGGACGGAGAACGGGCGGAATTCAACGCCCGCACCTCCATTTAACGGGTCCCTAGACCCCCGTTGAATCCCTTTTAACGCAAAAACGGGGGCTTCGCGTCGAATTCCAAAAAACGAAATTCGCGTATTGGGCCTCGGACACGTGTGCCTACGTGCCCGAACACTCAAAAAAAAAAAAAAAAAAAAAAAAATTCACCCTCCGTTGACACCCTCCCCCAAAGACCCCTAAAGGACAAAAAAACCCCTATCGGACCCCGAACACACCACCCGGCCCCCTCCCCCCAACCTGTCTCTTATACACATCTAGATGTGT